GCTGGCATGTGGTGCTGGGGGATTGAACCGCGATCCCTGATGCCTTGCCAAGCTTGTTCCAAGTAGGTGCTTTAGACCACTGAGCCATCTCTCCAGCCCCGAAACATGCTTTTTTGATGAAGATTTTATTTCTTATTATGGATCACGATGTTCAGTTTCAAAGTTTTGGAAATCAGTACTTCAGAGGATACAATGATAGTTAAAACTCCTTAGAGAACTTGAAAGAGGAAATTTCCTGAGACTGCTACTTAGTATGTGTTTCTCTGTATAGAATTTTGTGTTCTGATCGTAGTTGAAGCCTTTCTTTATGTATTAGTTCTGTGTAGTAAATTGTTGCTGTGGCAGTTGTAATTTTATCATTATTTTTTTGATGATTGTTTTTAAACTAAAAGGTCCTTGTTAAGACGTTTTTGTGTTATTCTAGGATATATACTTAATGAAATACTTTTTTTTTGGCAGAACTGGGGATTGAACTCAGGCCCTTGTGCTTGCCAGGGAAGTGCTTACTCCAGTGAGCCATATCCCCGGCCCCATAAAAGTACTTTTTTAAGAATTGTAAAGCTGTTATAGGTAGAGAAGGATATTTTCTCTTTCTTAGATGAACTTGGATGTTGCTATAGTTTTGTAGCTTTTAGATTTTGATTTTGAACAAAAGGCTACCTGTTTAATATTCTTGATGGTCCATGTTGCTGACGGTTTATAGACAGATAGCACTTTAATTCAGCTATCTTTTTCCTATTTGGAATCTTGTTAGTGTTTCCATAATTTTTTTCCAAATGGTCAGAATGAGCTGTTATTTTTTCTTGCATCTCTGAACCTCATCTTTTTATAGCTTTCAGAAACATATCACACCTAGCATAAGCTCAGGGAAAGCATTTTAAAATGGGAAGTAGTTTTACAGAATTATTCCTCATTCAAGTAATTACTGTTTCTTATTCTCTAGCTTGTCTCCCAGGAAGAGCAAAGCTTTGTATTTTGATCACCAAAGCAAGTTTTTTATGATTTTATTTGTTGTGGTGGTTTATTCCAGCCCCCACCAGCATTTATTTCACAGCTTGTAACACAAGGTTGTATATATTAGAGGTCTGCTTAATATTTTTGTTTTAATAAAATTACTGCCTAGTTGCTGGCCAGATAGCTCTGTGGATTAAAGTACTTGCTTTGGCAGACTTGGGGACTGTGGTTCAATCTCTGGCCTTCCATGCCCCTCCACCCCCAGGGCACGCTGAGGTGACGATTGAGACTGAGCATGGTGGTGTGCACCTATAATCCCAGCGCTTGGGAGGCTGAAAACAGAGGGATCACTACGAGTCCAATCTGTAGTGAGTCACTGTAGACCCTGCACTAAATACAAAAAAAGAAAATTTACTGCCTAGGATTGGGTATATTTTAAAGGAAGAAATTAATAATTCAGATTTACTGACACTTAATTAGGTTTAACCAAATTCATCAGCCAAATGTAGCTAGATTATACCTACTTGGGGGAGAGTTCTCACAGATGTTCATGACTTTACTTAGTTTGGATTTCCTGGTATTGCATAGGTACTGGCAGTTAGGTTTTCATGATCACTTACCTACATCTATATCTAAAAGGCTCCTAAAGTGTCGACGAAATAGCTCAGCAGACTAAGCACCTGCTTCGGCAAGTGCAGGAACTGTGGGTTTGATCCCTGGCACCACATGCTGCACCAGCCCTGCCCTTGGGTATGCTGAGCCAGCCACTGAGACCAGGAGTGGTGGTGCACACCTGTAATCCTAGCGTTGGGGAGGCTGAAAACAGGAGGATTACTATGAGTTGGAGCTTTGTAGTGAGACCCTGTACCAAATACATTTATTAAAAAAAGGCTTCCAAAATCCTAAAAGCTTTTCTCACCCTATTTGGTAGCTTGGCGTGAGCTGAGCTGACAGGTACTTGTCACTGTATTTATTCACAGTTTTCCTTGTATTTCACTGAGGAAATTTTAACACTTATTTAGTAGCCCCTGTTAAATTTATGAGCTGATATTATAAGCGCTATTTTATCTTTCTAAAAAATCCTCAAACCTCTCACATTCTGAAATCTGACCCAGAAATTTTCAGACAAATAAAAAGATCACATTACTACTCCTGATGATCTGGCTACTTTTATTTCTTCATGTGCTGCTGATCCTCACATATATACTATTGATCTGAGAGTACAAGTAAGAAGTTACTCGGTGCAGTACTAAGAGCATGAATTTGAGGAGCACGAAAATGTGCAATGATAAGCTCTCTCCTGTTTTGTCCTCTGTAAAAGAAGTTTAGTGATGGTGGGGGTTAGATGAGATAACATAGTTCTTCATGAAAAGTTAATTTTTTTCTCTTTCCTTTTTTGGGCTTAATCTGTCAGAGTTAAATACGTGTTATTATTTATATAGTTCCTGGTGTTTAAAAAATTTTAAATTTAATGGAGGAAGATAACCCTGCTTTTATTCCACCTGTTCGGCAAAGTAGTCATTGCTTTCTGTCTCTGGCCCCTAGGAGAGCATGTAACATCAAGATTTAAGAATGAAGTGGAGCGCATGGGATTTGATATGAACAATGCCTGGAGGATTTCCAACATCAATGAGAGATACAAGTGAGTTATATGGGTCCTTGTAGACTGTGTTTCATAACCATTGCCGTTACAGAAACACCCATTCATATGTGGTAGAATGTTTGAACCTAGACTTTGTTTTTGAAATAGTTTTACTTACTAGGTCTGGGTGTGAGATCATCAGAGTACTTCTTGAACCTTCTGTTCCTATTGCTGTTACTGGAGTAGAAAATGACCCTTGCCAGGATCCTGGAGCCTTCCTTTCTACCCACTTCCAGGCCTCTATTCTTCCTGGTTCATATATGGCTGGATATTACTGTATTTACCTATAGGCAGGCAGTTTCCGTTATTCTCATTGATATTTGATATCACTTTAATGTGATAAGATCAGTGATCTTTAAGCAGTGACAAACACTTAGGAGCTATTTTTTATGACTAATTTATGCTCCAGACCCTATGAAATAGACATATATATTTCAGTATGTTCAATATGATGATCTATTCATAGTTAGGATCATTTAACCATTAAATACTATTGCAACCATTATTAAATATTTAGCATCACCTGTTTCCTTAAAACATGTAAGAGATTTGGTGTGGGGGCAGTTATCTACTATGAGTTTGGTGATCCAGATTTCATAAACAAAATTGGCCAGGAATTTAAATTAATATATCCTTAACTTTTCTTGTACCACTGTTGTCTTATGAGCTCTCTCAGATTACAGACATTTTCCTGGTCTGTTTTTATGGCAAGACATTAGAGGCTTTCCTTTTTCATTAGAAAAGCCACAGTTTATTACAATATGCAGCAGCTCTTAACATGGGAATTAAAAACCTGGGATCTCGGGGCGGGGGAGATGGCTCAGTGGAATAAGCGCTTCCCTGGCAAGCACAAGGGCCTGAGTTCAATCCCTGGTTCCTCAATAAAAACTGGGATCTCTTAAGGTAGGATTTTCAGATCTAACTCCTTATACTCAGTGACAAGTCAAAGCAAAAGAAAAGGATGAAGATGAGATGGGAGAGGCTTCAGAGAGGTTGAGGCTGCTGCAGGCTAAATGCAACCACTTTCCTCCACTGACTGTTGCTTATCCACAAGTGAGCTGCTGATCCTTGCAGAAGGGCTGACTGCTCAGTAATAACAGTGAACATATTTAGAAAATCAGAGAAAACTGAATTGTACAAGCTAACTTTTAAAACAAAAAAAAATCCCTGATGTAAAATAGAATTTAAAAATAGTTTCTTATCTTGGAGTTGACTAGTTCCATTTCAGAACTGGTCTTGGGCGTTGAAGAGTTTTTCCTACTACAAAGGAAAAATGAAATTCAAATCTACTCTTAAATTGAAAACAGAATGATAGGTTTAAGACTCTTGCTTAGAGTACTAACCATGATCACTGTGTCCTGGGTTGTTTTCAGGAGTTTGGATAGGTGTTTTAGGAAATATATATTGGTTTTCTTAGTCATAGCCATTCTTCAGAATCAGTGGCTTTTGAATTCCTGATACTTCCCATCAGGAAATGGAAAGCAGAGAGAATATTAGTGCCTTGTAATCTAAACCCCCCAATTCCTAAGCCAGTGTATGGTGGTTTAGTTTGTTTTTGTTGTGTTGTGTTTCTGTCTCACTATATAGTTCAGGCTGGCCTTTGAATCACTGTGTAGCCTGGACTGGCCTTGAACTCTTGGTGAACCCCTGAGTGCTGGGATTATAGGTGTGCAAAATCATACCTAGCTTTAGCATGTTTTTCACCTATTGCTGTTTAATGCATAGGATAGAGTGGGAGAAAGGTAGTGGTGGTAGTGGTGGTAGTGGTGGTGGTAAAGGTGATTGAGTTCATTTTCATATTTGGATTAAATGCCTTCATTATTAAAAGAGATGAAGTTATCCATAGAGAGAGTATCTTATAAATAAAAGCCTATGAGAAGTACAGGTTTGCAGATCACCAGCTTGACTAGCATGCAGCTAGCATCTTCCATAATGAAGACAGCTGCTTTCTCAAGCATAGCTTATTTTGTATATTTTATAGGAATTATGATTAATAACTTATTCACCTTGGGCTGGTGAGATGGCTCAGTGGTCTAAAGCACCTACTTAGAACAAGCTTAGCAGAGCACAGGGACCGCGGTTCAATCCCCCAGCACCACATGCCAGCCAGCCCCGCCCCCTGGTGGGCTGAGCTGGCCACACACACACACACACACACACACACACACAGAGAGAGAGAGAGAGAGACACACACACACGCACACACACAATAAATAAATAAATTTTAAAAAATTTTCATAAAAAAATAACTTATGCACCTTACTAACTTGGCTCAGTAGTACTATGATCATATATGCACATAGTCAAGCATGTGATACTGCTCTTGTATACTTTAAGACAGCCTGTTTGGTTCAGAACAAAGAATGACTTAGTGTCTGGAAACTTGGAATTGTGAGTTTTTGTTCTTCTTTACATGTTTGCTTCAGCAAAAGCCTGGAACAATAAAGGTCTCATAGAGGCAACATAGTTTTTTGCTTCTGTAATTGTACTGGGTGCTCATGTAGTTAGAAATGACCTTAATATTTGTTATAGCTCACTGTGTAGCCTGGAGATTGCCATAGAGAATAAAGAGAATGTTCCTTACTTCTCCCTTTTTCATTGACAATTTACCCAGATTCCCAGAAGACAACATCAAGCAGAACAATGTAAGATAGTATCACTTGGAGATAGAATAGATACAGAGATCTGAAACACTTTGAGCAACCCATTTTGATTTTAAGTAAGCTGAAATTCAAATAATGCTTCCCATTTTCTTTTTGGTTGGTTAGCAGTGCTGGGAATTAAACCTTGGGCCTCACATATGCTAGGCAAGTCCCTACCAACTGAGGCAACCACCTCCCCCATTGCTCTTTAGCAGGTTTTGTGATAGTCTGATCAATATTCCTATGCTGGATCACCTGGTGTCTCCCTCATCTCTCCTTTTTCTTCCCTCTCTTTTTTACTTTTTCCTCTCCCCCTTCGTCATTTTCCCTATATTAGGTTATGTGGTAGCTATCCACAAGAGCTCATAGTGCCTGCATGGATCACTGATAAAGAACTAGAAAGTGTGGCAAGCTTCAGGTCATGGAAGCGCATCCCTGCTGTTGTCTACAGGTAAGTAAGTTTAACCAGCTGAGCTGGTGCAACTGCCTGTTCACTGTTGCTGCTAACTTGGGAAGAGAGAAGAGGGTCCAGAGAACTTTGCAGATAAGTCAGTATTTCCTTTAGGAATTCCTGAAGCTGCTCTCCCAGTATACATTGATACTCAGTGTATCCAGAATATTTGTTGGTGGTTCAGTTGACACTGATGAGAAAATATTAATAGAAAGGTGACTGTACTTGGAATTTCAAGGTCCTTCATTCTGTGAGAAGACAACATGCTTCTTTTTAGTTTCATATGCTATCAGGGCCTTTGAATTGAGAGGCGTTCTAGAACATGAGGTCTTGGAGAATAGAGTTGAATCATCTTTGATTGTCTTTGTAGTTGACACACATGTTGAAAAGCCGAGTTTTAAGAGGAAACATTTAGAGAAAAAGGCAAGGGCTGGACTGAGGAGAAAATTTCAGAGATCGGTAAAGCATGAATGCCAAGTGAAGCAAATTCTAGGAGGGATTGGTAGAGTGGTAGCAGAGCACGGGTTTTGGAGGCACATACCTATTCTGATACTACTTGCTGTGGCATATAGAGTGCATTTACAAACTGATACCACTCTATGCCTAATGAGTAGAATGGGAACCATAGTTCTTTGCAAGTGTGCTGTGATAGCTGAATGAAGGCCTATTAATAAGCAGTTTTTTGAGTAGATTATATTCCTGAGGATTGCTTGTATCAGTCACTATCTTAGTTCTTGTAGAATCATATTAAATTTTTAGGAAGTCACTTATCACTTTGTAATGTTAACATTATTTTATTTTGTATTTTTTTAGGGGAGGGTCTACAGGGTGTTCAGGGTCTCACTACTAGATCAGACTCATGGTGATTCACCTGTTTACAGTCACCCAAGAGCTGGGATTACAGGTGCGCACCACCATGCCCAGTCTCAATTGCTGTCTCAGTGTGCCTTGGGGGCGAGGCTGGTACAGCAGGTTGGGGGATTGAACCCCTGGCCCCTGCACCTGCTTGCAGGCACATTCTTTATTTTTCTAGTGTACAGACTTTGTGTATTGTCCTTGAATTGGCCAAAACTAACGACTTGGTTAGAAATTCTTGGATGGCAGGAGTCATTGCACTGAAAAAAATTTTTTTTGTTTTTTGGGGGCAGGTTTTCATGATACAGTTCAGGCTGGCCTTGAATTCACTTTGTAGCCTAGGCTGGCCTCAAACATGGAACAATCCTCCTGGGTCAGTCTCCTGGGTGTTGGGACAACAGGTGTACACCACCATGCCTGACCTTCCACTGAAATATAGAGGTTGTAGGAGGGGATGTTTTTCCTTGTGAAGACATTTGCTCTGGCTCACTGGAACCCATTACATTTTCAATTTCAATTTTCATCACTCTTTTTTTCAGACACTCCTAGAAAAGTGGGTCACCGAATTTACCTGTCACTGAAGTGGTCAGGGTGATATGGGAATTAGATAGCAGTGAAAGCCAATGGGATTTATGAGTCTTATCAGTGATCACCCTCAATGGAATAGAAAAGGTGACCAGCTGGTGTTCTGGCCAACAGCTGTGTTAGATCAGCAGCCTGGTATTTTGGGGGGCTTAATGACTTTGAGCATAAAGGTGGGACTAGGGGGAGGGATACTCTCATTTTCTAAGTAAGAGGCTTTGGGAGAATTTTGGGTTTTGGCAGAGAAGCCTAAGAGTGCTAGTTGAAGAAACACTTGCTAAAATGCAATACAAATGAGATGCTTTTTTTTTTTTTTTTAATTCTTCTAAAATTTATTTTAGAGGGCATTAGGCCTAGGGTTTTTTCTTCTGGTACAAGTAGTACAGAAGTTTTATTCACAACTTTTTCCAGAAAATGAAGGTTCTTGCAGTCCATATACTTATATAGAACAGGGTTTCTGGCACCATCTTTGATTCAGAGCAAGTGTCTAGTATTTCTGAGCTCCAGCTGGTGTTGCTGTATTATTTGTGAGTTTTGTAAAGGAATATGTTGAAGAATGTTTGGAACATTCCCACCACTCTGCTGTGACAGCTTAGGTGGTAGGATACGTCTGAATCTGACATCACTTTACAGAGTTTAGTTGACTGTAGACTGCAGTAATGACTCCTGAGGTTGCTAGCGGCAGTTACTTGACAATACCATGCTGAACCAGTGCCTAAGTAGGGCTTTCTCCCACTGTGATGAGAGAACATTTAATTGGATTTATAATTGAAAACAGATTTCTCTAACATGGCAAGATGGTGAGAATGGCGCCCATCTGTAGTGCAGTTTGCAACAACCCCCTTTGTGCATGCAGTGATTATTAGAAATCCCTAGTCATATAAGGAGCGGCCTAATTTTAATGTAGAGATGGTTAAAACCATTATTCATTTGTAAAATTAAGCATTCATTGTTTTAGTAGGTGAGTTTATCCTTTGGGCACTGATCTTAAGCTCTGACTCCTGTTAAAGTAACAGAAATGGTCTTTAGTGACTTTTTACTGTTGTGTAGTGTTTGTCTTTCGTGGAGTCTAATTTAGAGTAGCCCAGTTAAAATGTTAAATATAAAGGCCAGTGGTCTTTCAAACCCAAGTCCCAGGGCTGGCTAGATAGCTCAGTGGAAAGGGTTCAGTCCCCAGTGTGCTGTACAAGGCCTGCCTCTGGGGCGCACTGAGATGGTGATTGAGACTGGCTGTGGTGGTGTACACTTGTAATCCCAGTGCTTGGGAGGCTGAAAACAGGAAAGTCAGTGAGTCCGATCTACATAGTGAGACCCTGTATATATCCTGTAGACCCTGTCCTAAATTCAAAAAAATAAAAATAAAACCCAAGTCCCAGGCTAAAGAGTGCCATCTACTGTTCTTGTTTAACAATGCTGTAAAACATTGCAGGGGAAGAAGATGCTTGAGAAAGCCTGCCTGCCTTTGCTGAGAAGGCTTGCAGCGTTTCAGCTCAGTGGTTACCTTATACTTGTTATTTTCAAGTAGGCATATTGCGAATCAGTGAGATTTTATTTCTGTATTGTCCTCATGCAGCTTGTGAGCCACTTGAACTTGCTGGCAGTGTAAAATACTTTTAGCTACTTGTCTCTCCCAATGGGGGAGGACTTAAGAACTGAAGCAAATAGATTGTCCAGTGGGATTTTATTATTGCCAGATTTAACTGATTGCTTGTGAACTTTAGGATTAAAAACAAGTCTTTTTCACATTATTCCCTGAAGAAGACTTAGATTCAGTAGTATTTTTTAAACTATATGTTTTAAAGGAAGATATAAGCATTCTCTGAGCTACAGAGTTGGGGGATAATTATCTGGATTTTAAAAACAATTTTGTAGTAATTACTTTTATATTGTAAAACAAAAATCTTACTACTGAGATAGTCAACATATAATTTACCCCCTTTAAGTTCAGTAACTTTTTAGTAAATTATATTCCAAGTTGTACAGCCATCACTGTAATCAATTTTATTACATTTTTATCACCTAATAGGCCATATATCCAGTAGCAGTCCTTCCTCACTACCTCTTTAATCTCCATATCCCCAGGTAACCAGTAACTAGTAATCTACTTTCTGTCTCTGTAGATCTGCCTATTCTGAACACTTCTCATAAATGGAACCATACAATATGTGGCCTTTCGTGAGTGGTTTTTTTAGTGTAACATATTTAGCATTCATCAGTATTGTGGTATGTGTAGGAACTTCAGTCTTTTTTATTGCTAAATAACTTTCAGCTTTTTAATTACTTACAATAGCCGATTTAGGAAACACTTGGAGTTTTTAATGATGTCTTGCAGTAGATTATAAGTATGATTTCTGCTCTTGAGAAAGGATCTGTGAGAATACTGAGATTGCTATTTCTTTCCTTCTAAGAGCCTGAGGAAAGCTCTTTGAGCTGTCTACCTATAATAGCAATTTGTGACTCATGAAATCACATATTTTGTAAAACAATCCAATGTGTAGCAAGTAAATAAATTTCAGTCAGTCCCAACAGTGGGATCTGTGAAAAGAGTCCCCAGGCCAGCCAAGAGTATGCCATTGTTGCAGTGGACTCTAAAAGTCAGTGGAACAACACATTTTTCTCAACATCAGCATCTTTTATGTCAAGTTATTTAGGTTCTGTGTCAGAAACGGGAATTAGTTTTTCATTGTTGAATAGTGAAATTAGTGTGGTATTTGTAGCTTTTTTTTTTTTTACATTAATCCCCACACTATTCAAATATTTAAATTATAAATATTAACGTATTTTCTACTTATCTTGTTGATAACTATATAGAGATCTCTGTGATGGTATAATAATTGAGAAAGATGCTTATAAGCATTTATTGTTACTTTTGGCATATGAGATTATTGCCTTCTTTAAGGCTGAGAGGACTTCTAGCACAGTGTTTTGGAGCCAGGCTTTTCATTAAGGTGCTTAAAATCTACCTTTTCATGTGAGTACAGATACCTGAATTTGAAGCCCTTTGAATGATGCACTGTTCTCATTTGTTCCTCACACAGACACCAGAACAATGGAGCTGTTATTGCCCGCTGTGGACAGCCAGAGGTCAGCTGGTGGGGCTGGCGCAATGCAGATGATGAGCACTTGGTACAGTCAGTAGCCAAAGCATGTGCTTCTGACTCACGATCGAGTGGCAGGAAGCTGTCAACTAGGAACAGTTCTCGAGATGTTCCCAGTCGAGGAGACCTTTCTGATGTGGAGTTTGGTAAGGTGCTCCCTGGGTGCATGACGTTGGTCCTCATGGCATCTGAGGACCTTTTCTTGAAATGGCCTTTTCTTTAGAAAATACGTAACTTTATAGAAGAAAGAATTTGATGGGTTAGAGGAAACATGGCTTTTGGGAAAGTACTAGAAGACCCTCTGTTTCAAACTTTAACAGCCTAGCTGTTTTTCGTTATCACCAATGTGACAAGAGTGGAGTACATATTTTGTGGGGACTTGAATTGTCTGTAGTCCTTGGAAGGAAATATCCTACCTGGTGAGAGGATTACAAACATAGGAATGATGTATGGGACACTGAGCTGTGTAGTTTTCCATGTGTATAACAGGAATTGGTTTTGGAAGATCTCATCAACTTTTAATGAGGCAAAAGAGTACATAGAAGTCTTGAATATTAATGATCTGGTTAGCAGTTTTTACTTGTGTCTATCTTGTTCTTTTTCTTTCTTTTTTTGTACTATAATGACCCTCTAGTTCTAATTTTCACAATTCATGGAGAGACAAGCTCAGTTAGCTTTTATTTCTCTTCTAATGTCCCTAGATTCTTCTCTGTCTAATGCTTCAGGAGCAGAGAGCTTATCTGTCCAACCGCAGAAGCTTTTGATCTTAGATGCACGCTCCTATGCAGCAGCTGTAGCAAACCGAGCCAAAGGAGGAGGCTGCGAATGTCCAGGTGAGATGTTTGGTGTTTTATCCTCCAATACTCTGTCCTTGTGAGCCCGGCCTATGTTCAACCCACTTAGTCTTCAATTTGAAATGAATGACAAGCCATATTCCTTACCCTGTCTTGAGAGAGCCAGAATTCTTAATAGCATGTGTTCTTTTTCAAGCAGAAATGGAGAAGGAGGTACAGTGAAACAAAATCTTTCTTCTATCTGCCTTTAAGGCGATAGAGCAGATCTTCTTCCATGATACTGCTTTAGTGGCTCAATTTCTCAGCCTTCTGAAAGCTTTTTGTTGTCTTTGACAGTGGGTACACTCATCCTTGGCTTTCTAGCAAATTCCTCACAGTTTCTCCTTAGAAAACCTTGTGTGAAAATCAAAGCAGTAAACACAGAATTCCAGTAAGAAGCCCCTGTTGTTTAATTGATGTAGGACCCCATGACAGTTGTGTGCTGATGGGGCACACAGAGGCACACACTTCCTTAGTCAGATGTTATCTAAGATAGAAATTGAAGGCAGCTGTACCAAGGTGAAGTTTGAATGCCTGATGATATTGTTCTGCCAAATTCGTTGCAAAGTTATTCCAAAACCACAAGTTAGATGAGGCCCACGAAGTAAACCTGGAGTGAAATGGAAGTTTACAAGCCTTTCTTTTTAAAAATAAAGCTTTTATTTTGTGAGTATCTGCTTTAAAGATCTAATCTTCCTTTTCTACTCCTTTCACAAAGATGGCTAAAATTCAAGGACTGTTTTCCTTTTAGAATAAAGCACTGTAATAGTCAACCGTCACAACATTGCAGTTTCATTAGTCAGCCACTGCAATGGCTTTGCTTTATAGCCAGTTTGGTGCCTTTAAATTTGGCCACGTGGCCTTTAAATTCAACATATTTGCATTCTGTTTGTTATTTTCTCCAGAGTATTACCCAAACTGTGAAGTTGTGTTTATGGGAATGGCAAACATTCATTCTATTCGGAGGAGTTTTCAGTCTCTGCGGTTGCTGTGTACACAAATGCCTGATCCGGGAAAGTAAGAACTTGGCTTTGGCTTTAATTTTGCATTGCTCTTTTTTAAAGAATGAGTTTGAAGGTGTCTTTCCTCTGTTTCTTGGTGACCTTCAGTTATACTTGCAGATTCTGCAGTTCATCTTCCTGAATCAGGAGCTAGGAGAACAACCCAACCCTCTGAAATGTTTTAAAATTTGCAACCCAGGACAAATCTCATCACTGTTGAAAATAGAAACATTGTTCTCTCTCTCTCTCTCTCTCTCTCTCTCTCTCTCTCTCTCTCTCTCTCTCTCTTTCTGAAATTTAATTCTTTAGTTTCTTAAGAATCCTGTAATAATGCTTGCTGTGAACTCTGGGGTGTTTACTGTGAAGTTACAATTTACTCATTATGTTCTAAAAAGGTTAAACTTGTCATTAGGTCAGTTCTTTTTATGTCTGATTCTGATTTCTGAATTGGCGTCTATTATTTATCAAGAACATTACCCTGATTTTCATTGCTTATTGAAAATGAATGGCTGGCATTTGAAGAAAGGAAAGTGAAATAATACCCCCTGCATGGATATTGTTTGAATACAAGATAAATTAGGAGCAATTAAGATGTTCTGTAAAGCAGATATAGACAGATAAATATTTATAAGCCCCTGTTTTACTATTTCAGAAAGTATAAGATAGTACCAGAGAAGACAGAATTTTCTTTCTTTTCTTTTTTTTTTTTTTTTTCCTGGTGTTTGTGCTAAAGCCTGTACTTGTTTCCTTGGGTCCTGTACAGCAGATAATCATGATTGTATCAACTTTTGTTGCATTTCTTTATTGGATTTATTAAATCAAATGCTGCCTGAACCACTTGTACCAACTCTTGGCTACAAATGATAAAATTCATCATAGTTGAAATCAGACCTAAGGTGAAGCAGTGTCCTTTGGGAGACAGCCTGACCAAGAAATGAGTTTGCTACTTTGCTTTTGGATTAGCTATTTGCATTTAATATGTAATTCCAGGGCCCAGTGAGCAGCACTCTTTTGTAAAATGGAGCATAGAAAGATCCTAGTTTAGGACCCAGGAAACCTGCCAAGCATAAAGAATCAGCACTACATGATCTCTGATATATACTTCCATATACTAAAATTTAACAGCTATTTTATCCCAGATGTGGTAGCTTGTGTCTTATTATCCCAGCACTTAGGAGGTTAAGGAAGGAGAATTGCTGTGAGTTTGAGACCAGCTTATACTGCATAGTGAAACCCTGTTTCAATAAATTATTATATTTATATAACTTTTAAAAAGCTTTTTTTTTAAAGCTCAAGAGTCAAAAAGTATGTTAATCAGCCCTCATCAGGTCTGAATGAATGTGTGGGGGGATTTTATTAAAGAAGTAATGCTTTGCATTTGCTACAATATAGCAGAGCATAGTGCAATATTGAAGCCTACCTTGTGTATAAAAAGAAGCTGTAGCAGAGATGGGGTGGCGCCAACTGCAGGGAGTATAAGTACTCCCCTTCATGTCTGTTTAGAGCTGTAAAGGGCTAGGGAGGTAGTGTGCTGCTGCTCCAGCTTGAAAGCAACTTAAGGATGTATAAGTTCAGTCTCCCAGCATCTTTCAATCGGCAGTCTTCTCTCTCAGGCATGACATCAACTGGTATTTAGTCAAGTTCAAGAGACATCCATTGGTTCTCTAGCTAACTATTTCTACCTTGTATATGGAGGAGGAGCTAGCAGATATTTTTTTCTCTTAAGCCTTGTCTTTTGGTTTCTTTCAAGACTATGTGAGGAATGAGAATAAATAATTTGTCCATCAGAAAAACAAATTTCTTAGATACCTGCTAGGAGATAGATACCTGCTAGGAGATTATCTGAAAACCTGTCTTTTACGTGACAGGTTTCAAATTCATTAAACAGTATGGTTTTTCTTGTGTAGTAGGCACTGAGCTGTAGGGTACAGGGCAGAGACCTAGTGTCAAGCCTCTTGAGGAGTCACAGTCTGGTTGGTATCCTGGACTAATCTATATAAAACCAGTGATTATGTACCATATCCTGTTGTCTGCTTGCCTGGCTAGGAAGATACTCTCCCTTAGACTTCCAAAAATTCACAGTCATTCCCTTAAGGCTTAGTAGATTGATGGCCTTGTCCAGTAAGCATAGTCTTAGAAAAGCCTCAGAAATCCTGAGAGCACTATTAATTCCTTCTTTTAAATCAGTATTTGAGGGCCCTAACTACATACGTGGCTGAGATTCTAAGTATACACCTGACTGCATTTGGCAGGAGAAAAAAATCACAACTCATTTTTGGGAAACAGGCAGGGAGGAACACAAGAAGAAAAAGGGCAACACTGTTGGTAAGAAACCAAGTATGTCAGCTTGTGATTAGTTCCAAGCAGTAGTTCTTGTTATCTGATATTCAAAAAGGCTGTTTGAAAGAAAAGTTCCTCTAGATCCGTAAATCCAGTCTGAGCTATGCTGCAACATTACTGTGTGCCTGTCACTATATTAATTTGCTTGAGTCTAACTCATTTTGTTGGAGCCATCCAGCTTTAGTACATTTTAAAAAAATTATTTATTTGGTACAAGGTCTAGCTATGCAGCTTGGACTTGTAGTGATTCTCCTGTCTCTTCCTCCCCAGTGCTGAGATTACAAGCCTGTGCCACCATGCCTGGTTTCAGTAGCTGGCACGGCATGGGGCCGGCACAGCACGGTGTGGGGTCAGCACGGAATGCAGCTATCACCTCAGCCCAGTCAGTACATATTTAAGACCTTTGAGTTGTTTTGTATCTCAGATGTGGCTCCCAGAAGATTCCTGAAAAGGCTACTTTTCTTGTACTGTGTATACCTAACCTATTTTGGACTGAAAAATATTAAATAATAATCTTCTCTAGGAAGTTATCCAGTAAAATGTTAGAACCAAAGGTGGTCCTATTGTTTCTTTTATAAAAAGTTTTGTTTTTTAGACTGTATCAAACTGACCTCAAAGTTGCAGTGATCCTCCGGCATCCTGCCTCAGCCTCAGAATGTACCACCACACCCAGCTTTGACTGTGCTTTGTAAATGGAGATTTTCTGATATTTTGGTAGCATTATTTGTGTACAGAAAAATTTTGGAGAATTGCTTTTTAATTTGACAGATACTGAACATAATGTAAATCATAAAAAATTCCTCTAGGGTTTCCTTATCCATTTGTTTTTATAGTTGGCTTTCAGCTCTGGAGAGTACAAAATGGCTCCATCATCTGTCTGTGCTTCTGAAATCGGCACTTCTGGTGGTGCATGCTGTGAATCGTGATCAACGCCCAGTGTTAGTGCATTGTTCAGATGGCTGGGACCGCACCCCACAGATTGTGGCATTGGCTAAGCTCCTACTAGACCCTTATTACCGAACCATAGAGGTGAGTGCATCTAAAGAATGGGAGCTAGTATTTCAGGATGAGTGGGAGAAGCTTCTCTAAGGGTTTTATGGTCAGTTTTGAGCATGATGATTGGGTCTAAAGAAGATAAAATTGCTTTGTTCCTAATTGTTCTTTTACCTTGAGGTACATAGTAGTGGTGCTCACCTCAATTTTCATAAGCCTCTTAAAATGGTACAGATTGCAGGTGACACAGCATTGAAAATAGACATTTTCTCTTGGAGTCTGTCCATTTAGAAAAGTTTTGTCTACCCCAGGAAAATGGGACTTCTAACAAAATGATTTTTGTATTCTTAGGGCAATGAGTGTAGATATTACCAGAGTGTTCTGTGGAGAATCATCCCTGCTTTGCAGTCATCACCTGTTGGGTTAACAATTTAAAGATGTGGGGAAAACAAAACAAAACACTTAAAATATATATGAACATTTGTAAAATCTGGGATGAGAATGTTTTTACAAACATGAAGTTGCAAATGTAATACCAAAGGTAAAGATTAAAAAATAAAAGAGAAGGGGGAGAAGCATAGTAGTTTTTATTCAGTGAATGAAAGAGGCAAAAAATTTACAAAAACACAAGAAAGATTTAAATGGATGAACAGTTAGTAGTCTTCCATGAATACAGAACAGTTCAGGGAGTTGGAAAATTTCATTGTGTATCTCATCAGGAAGAGAACTTTCAACTGTGAGTTTAGGCTAGATGCACTTAACGGGGAAGCTAGTATAGGGGGTTGCTGTAGGTTACACCAGGCTCAGGACTGTTACAGTTTTGAATAGTCCAGCACAAATGGTCTCTCCTGGGTGTTCCCTACAGGGTTTCCAGGTCCTTGTGGAGATGGAGTGGCTGGATTTTGGTCATAAGTTTGCTGACCGGTGTGGTCATGGGGAGAACTCGGATGATCTAAATGAGCGTTGCCCGGTGTTTCTGCAGTGGCTTGACTGCGTTCATCAGCTTCAGAGGCAATTTCCTTGCTCTTTTGAGTTCAATGAAGCATTCCTTGTGAGTTTGAGCTTGTGAATTCTACATTTTGGTAACCATCTAGTTTTGAGAGGATGTCAGTACAAATGTTTATGGGCTAATTTTCACATGAAATTGCACCGTTTTTAGAATTTATTAGAGAAAAGATTGTTTTCTCCCATTTTTATCTAAAACAGTAATAGAAAATAGCATTTGTCCAGTGAATCCAGAGTACTAGGTTTGCCTTGTGCAGATCTTGAGTTGTTTTAAACTTACCTTTTAAAAGGGATAGAAATGTTAAATAGTACTGAGAAATAAGGCAATCAGAATGTCCCATCCTCCCAGTCCATTTACCAAACTTCCTATATCTCCCACACCATCTGTCCCCTCTCCTTTGATAGAAAATGTACTGTTTTTGCCCTTTCTTATCTGCTCTGCTGCCTGGATCCAGCATTTCTCCCCTCTGCCATCTGCATTAGCATATTTCCCTACAAGGTCACAGTGATGAGCATATAAACATGGCATAGGGTTCCATGTTGTCTCAGAACCCTTTCTATATACTGTGTTTTCTATAGGTGTCAACCCATTTCTCTGATTTCCTTTATAAAAGAGCTCCTTGATATTTCAAAGTCCTCTCTTCTCAGTCTCTCTTAGACCCACTTAACTCAGGCATTTCCCATGCCATTTTACTAAAGCTGCTCTTGTTAAAGTGACCAGAGATTTTCATGTTGCTAATCCAGTGATCAGTGCAGAGTTTTCATCTCTAATCCATCATTATCGTTTTGCCAGTTGAACTCCTGTCTTGAAATGCTTTCTTCAGTTGATTCTGGCATTCATCATTCTTAGTTCTCTCAGCTCCTTGGCTAATCCTTTGTCCGCCTTGCTGATTCGTCTTGGTTTTCTCAGTACTAAATATAGGAATGGCCTGGGATTCAGCTTTAAGGGGAGGTTTATTTTTTGTGTTTGGTGCTGAGGACCAAACCCAGGGCTTCTAGCTTGCTAGGCAAGCATTCTACTGCCGAGCCAAATCCCCTGCCCCCTAGGATTCAGCTTTATAAAGACAGCTTCTCTATCAAGCCCCCTTTCTAAAGATTTCACCCAATCTAGTGCTTTAATTGCCATCAATATTCTGAAGAATCTGATACATATACACCTTTAGCTTAGACTTGCCCACTCAGCTCCAGCCTCACATTATCCAACTGTGAATACATAGTATTGCCACTTGATTGTCTTTTTATCCGTCTTTATTGCCTGTCTGTCTGTCTGTCTGCCTGTCCATCCATCTGTCCGTCTACCTATTATGCTGGGATTGAACCCAGAACCTCATGCATAGGAGGCAAGCCCTCAACCAGTGAGCTGCAAACTCATTCTCTTCTTGGGTGTCTTAGTGGTATTTCAGACTGAACACATTTAAAATTTAATTCTTGATTTCTGCATTTCCTTACCCTAGGAACCTGATTTTCAAAGGAATCTTCCATTTCACCATATGACAGTGCCATCTTTCCATTCATTTAGGTCAAAACCTTTATGTCATCTTCAACTGTGATTCTCTATATTCATTCTGTAGAGTCTATAGCTCTGCTTTCAAAATATATCTAAAACTTATTGCTACCTTTACTGATGTTCCACAAGTCCACACCACCATTATCTTCTTCCCAAATTCTAGAGTGTTAACTTAGCCCAAAGGGATCTTTGAAGAACATGAAGCAGACCACACTATTCCCCTGCTTAGAAACCTCTAGTGATTGCTTTTCACATAGAATGACAATAACCAAAGTCCTTAAAATGGCCTACAGGTCTACTTCCGTGTCCTTTCTTTCTTGTCTATTTCCTAGGAGTATGCTTTTAGCTCTGACTCAAATTGTACACTATTAACTTGCTTGCTCCTTCTTGTGCAATCTGTTTTAGTGACACTGGCCTCTTTGCTGTTCTTCTGAAATCATAAGCATACACTCATCTCAAAGCCATAGTGCTTGTAGTTGCCTCTGCCTAGAACATTTTCCCTCAGATACCCATGTGACTTGCTCTTTTACTTCCTTCTGGTCTCACCCAGCAAGGCCTTCCCACTGCCCAGAACCTGCCCTGCCCCTCTTATCCTGCCTATTTTACCATACACTTGTCCATTCTCCTTCACAGCTAGAGCAAGCTCTTAACAAAGCAGAAAAGCTTGCTGATTGTTGCTGCATATCCAGCAACTGTAGTCATGCCTGGGGCATGTGAAATATGTGAAATGCCCAATAATGATTTTCTGAAAAAAAATAAGTAGTTTTAAGGGCCAGGGAGATAGCATAGTGACTTATGTGCCTGCCTGGCAAGTGCAAGATCCTGAGTTTGATCCCCAGTCCAAAAAAAAGAAGAACTTAGTTGTATGAGTGTGCTTTAAGCTCAGACTTGAGCTGTACAGTGACCTGCTCTTGTATCCAGTTTATATGTTCTGTCACTAAGGAGGTTAACTATTACTTCAGAAGCTCAGTGTGCTTAACAGGGAAGCTGAGAGGAATGGGGTACACCAGGTGTCTTAGGCAGGCTGATGAGTGCTGGTGGTGGAGATCAGACCGAGGAGGAAGCTATTGCATGGCTTCTTTTGCTCCCCAGTCCTGCAGAGTGAGCTGAAGTTTTCTCAGGGTTGTCACGCATACATAAGTGGCTTAGGCTGGCTGGCTTGTACCAGAGAGTATGTTCCCTGCTACATGGTTTTGCCTCATTGGACTTCCTTAGGTGAAACTGGTGCAGCATACCTATTCCTGCCTCTTTGGAACATTCCTGTGCAACAACGCCAAGGAAAGAGGAGAAAAGCATACTCAAGAACGGACCTGTTCTGTTTGGTCTCTCCTTCGGGCAGGCAACAAGGCTTTCAAAAACCTACTGTATTCTTCTCAGTCAGAAGCCGTATGTACTTTTCTTATAATTAGAATAAATTTGGGGGTGTGACAGGAGTCTGAGTTCCTGTTCTTGTGAAGGCCATCTCTCTGTTTTGAGTGGGTTGGTTCCATTTTTTTCCTCCCATCATGCTAAGAAAGACCTGTTTCATGTGATACTCTATCCTGCTTCTGACCATTTTGTAGTCATGGTGATTTGGTGTAATACACATCTCTACTTTGCTCTCCTAGACACAAATCTTCTCTGGCATCTCCTCCAGAGCTTAATGTATTCTTAGCATATTCTAACTGGTGGGGGAGGCCTGGATGCTTCTCATAGTTCAGAGGAAGAGTGAGCCCCAATCCCCCAGAACTCTCCCTATGTACCAGGTGATGAAACCCCACTACAGCTTGCTCTCAGCACAAAACTGGGCCTGATGTTGGCATCAGTGTCTACGAGATGTTCTGCTTACATGGAGAGCTGGCAGGCCTTTTAAGAATTTGTTCTCCAAAGGAATACCTTGTGCTAAGCAGAGAAAAAGACACATTCATCTGTGTGTTAGTGTTCCCTTTGTCAGAATGCATCCTAAACCTATAAGAAGTCAAAAGCAGGCTAATCAGTTTAATTGCTTTGCTGAGCTATTAATGTTTCTCATTACATTTAAGAAAGATTTAGGCTGTTTCTTACCCTCCTTCTCTGCCTAAGAAAGTAATAATACAGGAAGATTCCCTTTTTTCATATGATTAATTTAAATGATCCTATAAAACAGACCTGACAGTTTCTGTGAAGCCAAGCTTTTATACCAGGGAAGCAGACAATCATTTCTAACAGAATGCTCACTTTCTTATATAGTAAAAGCAACAAATGAAGATGATGAAAGTTGGTCATTCAGTAAAAGTGACCTGAGAAATTATTGTGAAGTGAATCTTTTTATTTTTTATTTTTATTTATTTATTTTTTGGTGGAACCAGGGATTGAACTCAGGCCCTTGTACTTGCCAGGAAAGCGCTTATTCCACTGAGCCATCTCCCCAGCCCCTTTTTTAAAATGCTCTTATGGGTCGGCCTGATAGGCTTTTATGGCCCCCAGGGCATGCTGACTGGGCATGGTGGTGTGCCTGCCCATAATCCCAGCACTAGGGAGGCTGAAAACAGGAGAATCACTGGGAGTCTGATCTATGTAGTGAGACCTTGTAGACCTTGTAGTAAATATATTAAATAAACAAATAAGTAAGAATTTTTAAAAATTAAAATGCTCTTAGATTTTCATGGTCACATGTTGCCAAATAAAATGTCCAGTCTTATGTTGGTCTCAGGAGATAACTTATATTCCGTTGATACCGTCTCCCTGTGTATCTGTGTTTTAGCCCTATTGAGTGTTTGGTGGTACTTGTGTATGATCTTTTGACATATTCCCCTCTGATTGAATCTGAGAGTGTGCTGAGATATATCTCCAGCCCTTTTTATTTATTTCAAGAAAGGATCTTACTAAGTTGCCCAGAATTTGGAATTTTCCTATCTCATCCTCCTGACTAGCTGGAATTGTAGGCATCTGCTACCACATCCAGCTTTCCAGAAAATCCTAGAAGACTAATTGTGACATGTTTAATCCTGTGTCCTTCTCCCTTTCGTAGGTGCTGTACCCGGTATGCCATGTGCGCAATCTGATGCTGTGGAGTGCAGTGTACCTGCCCTGTCCATCCCCATCTACTCCCGTGGATGACAGTTGCGCACCATATCCAGCCCCAGGGACTAGCCCTGATGATCCTCCTCTGAGCCGGTGAGATCAGGGGTGATGCCACAGGCCTCACCTCATGTATAGCTAGCTGTATTCCTGTTTGAGGACATGCCCAAGGATGGTCAAAAATCCTGATATTGCTTGAGTCTAAAATATCTTTCTTAGCTCTTTGAAGTTTTCTCAAAGAGAAAACTTCTCAGAGAGGGCAACTACTAAGAGTCTTGTTTTTGGAAATGGATAGGTCTCTGTTGCTATGTTCTGTTGTAGGCATTGAGTAGTTTTTCAGTGATGGAGCACATCCACTGAGCTGCTTGTGACCTCCCGATTTGTGTCTCACTCACTGTTCTTTCTGCTTTTGTCACCTTGCTGATTTGTCTTCTGAGGCTTGTCAGGCAAATGCCGTGAAGTGATAGAAACTTAGGCTTTGCCATCTGTGAATTAGTTTTTTTTTTTTTTTTTTTTTTTTTTTTTGCAGAACTGGGGATTGAACTCAGACCCTTGCTCTTATTTTACTGAGCCATCTCCTTGGCCCCTAGCTTATTAAATTCATAGTTGATAAGTTTTTTTTTAAAGTACTATAATATAAAAAATATCTGATCACCTCTGCCACAGGATCATGAAGAATACCTTTTTAAAAAAGCATTTGCTGTTAAATATTTGTATGTATGGAGCATGGGGTGAAGGCAGTGCAGATAGGGTGCATTTTTCCACTCTACCTTACTGAGCCACCCTTCGGAGATGCCATGGTTTCTTCTATACTATAATGAGCAGCTTATTAAAACTATCTTCTGCTTCCCTCTGAATTTTCCCAAATATTCTCATTTTTCCTAACTCCCTCCCTTTTTAGGCTACCAAAGACTAGGTCATTTGACAATCTGACCACAGCCTGCGACAGCACAATGCCTCTAGCCAGCCGGCGCAGCAGCGACCCCAGCCTGAATGAGAAGTGGCAGGAACACCGGCGTTCACTGGAGCTAAGTAGCCTTGCGGGACCTGGAGAAGAACTTCCTGCTGACAGCTTGGGGAAGCCTAGCAGGGTTCCAGGAGGTGCTGAACTATCTGTGGCAGCTGGAGTGGCAGAAGGGCAGATGGAGAATATTTTGCAAGAGGCCACCAAAGAGGAATGTGGAGTGGAGGAGCCTGGTCATAGAGGGAGTATGAAGATGCTAGAGGTCAAAGGGGAGGCACCTTTATTGAAGGAGAGCAGGATGACCATGGCTGAGGGCTCAACCATTGTATTTTACCAAGAACCAGAGCTAGATGATTCTGTTTTGAGGAGCCACCCAGATACCGTCCTGTCTCTGTTCTCACAGGATACTCCTGAGAAGCAGGATGGACACAGTGTTCTCAGTTCACTGCAGGCTTTCCCCAAGGAAGAGGATATCCTAGAGGTCTCTGTGGAACAGCCTCAAATAGGGGCTATCGTAGAGGATGGAGGGGATGCAATTCCTCACATCCTGGGAGATGTTAAAATTGGCTATGGTACCTCATTGTCTAGTTCTCTACTACCTTCCCAAGTCCCATTTGAGACCAGAGGACCAATCATGGACAATCCCACAAACATGTTAATAGAAGATAAGGTGAAGTCAGAAAGTGAACCTCGAGTCCATCATAAACCTTGCCCTATAATTAGTGGCAGGTTCAATGGTAAGGACATACTTCCTCCAGTGCTGGAGTCCAGGCTTGTGGAGAAGAGCCTAGCTGAGAGACCCCAGGGGGTGTCTGTGGTACAGAGGACTTCGCCTGGCGGCACTGTCAACCCAACACCAGCCCCGTGTGCCTTGGCTTTAGCTGAATGTAAAGAGGGGCTTGTGTGCAATGGTGCCCCAGAGACTGAAAACAAGGCCTCAGAGCAGCCTCCGCTTGGCATTCTTCAGAAGTATCCCTTGCCCAATGGGCACTGTGCCAACGGGGAGGCTGGGAGGAACAAGGACTCACTGAGCCGCCAGCTGTCTGCCACAAGTTGTAGCTCTGCCCACTTACACTCGAGGAACTTGCACAAGTGGCTACACAACCACTCGGGGAGACCATCCACAAATAGCAGCCCTGACCAGCCTTCCCGCAGCCACCTAGACGATGATGGCATGCCTGTGTACACGGACACAATCCAACAGCGCCTGCGCCAGATTGAGTCAGGCCACCAGCAGGAAGTGGAGACCTTAAAGAAACAAGTCCAGGAGCTGAAAAGTCGCCTAGAGAGCCAGTACCTGACCAGCTCCTTGCGCTTCAATGGGGACTTTGGAGATGAAGTGGTGAGTAGGTCCTGGTTCCTCAGTAGCTGCCCAAGGAGATAGGGCCCACTAACCCTTTAGACTCTGTATGGTAATGGGTACAGAGTTCTAAAAGGATCGGGTAGGTCCAGAGTAACCCTGTTAACAGAAGCTGGAGATCATTTTCAGCTACCTGAGTGGCAGTCTGCCTCTTTTCATCTCTCCTAATTTCCTGTGTCTTGTTGAGACACTTAACAAATGTAGTGCTTGTAACATTTTAGAAACTAGTAAACTGGGCTGGTGAGATGGCTCAGTGGTCTAAAGCACCTACTTAGAACAAGTTTAGCAAAAGCACAGGGACCACAGTTCAATCCCCCAGCACCACATGCCAGCCAGCCCCGCCCCCTGGTGGGCTGAGCTGGCCACACACACACACACA